GGGATTACAGGCATGCGCCACCATGCCTCAACTCATTTGCTGCTCAGCATGTGCAGCAGCAACGCGGCATTTGGTGCAGGGAACAAAGACAATTTTCTATTAAAAAAAAAGAAAAAAAGAAAAAAAGAGGTTGTTGCCCTAGGAGTAAAGAGTCAAGACAGAAGCTGGGTGTGGTGTGCACACCTGTAATTCCAGCATTTGGGAACCTGAGCCAGGACGATTGTTGCATTCGAGGCCAGCCTGTGTTACAGAGTAAATTCAAGGCCAGTTGCAACTGCATAGTGAAGCCCTGTCTCAAAAAATTGTAAGAAGAGTCAAGATACATACTCTTGATATAAACTTCTTGCATCATATATAGCAAAGCTGCAGGATACATGGTAAATACACAAAAATCAGCCCTAGTCATGAATAATCAGAAAAAATACTAGAACTATTTGATTTACAAGAACAGCAAAAGAATAAAATGTTTAGGAATACATTTATTTATTTTATTTTATTTATTTATTTATTTTTGGCGGAACCGGGGATTGAACTCAGGCCCTTGTGCTTGCCAGGGAAGCGCTTATTCCACTGAGCCATCTTCCCAGCCCTAGGAATACATTTAATTAAGAGTTTTAATATGAAAATTATAAAACACTGCTGAAAGAAATTAAAACCTTAAGTAAACAGAAAGACATACCATTGATTGGATGATGCAATTAATATTGTTAAGATGGCAACACTCCACAAACTGGTCTACAGAGTCAATACCAGTCAACCATTTCCACTAAAATCCTAATTGTGCTTTTGGTAGAAAAACAGATCCTAAAAGTCACATACAAATGTATGAAATTGGATCACTAACTGTATAAAAACAACAAAATTGAATGCCTCATACTTCTTAATTACAAATAACATAATCTTTATGTCTAATATCAACATAAGGATAAACATAAAAACTAGTGGAAGATTAAGTAATAAGCCAGGCATAAATCCATACATTTGTGGTCAACTGACTTTTGACAAAGACATCAAGATCACACAATGGAGAAAAAGGAATCTTCTTACAAAAGGTACTTGTATAAATGGACATGCATAATGAAAGGATGAAGTCAGACCCTCATCTCATACCATTTAAAAATTAATTAAAATGAATGGAAGATCTAAATATAAGAGCTAGTCAGGTGTGGTGGTGCATGCCTGTAGTCCCAGCACTCAAGAAGGCTGAGGTAGGAGTACTGCTGAGAGTTCCAGGCCAGCCTAGGCTACATAGTGAGTTTAGTGACAACCTAAACACATATGTAGTGAGGCCCTGCTTCAGAAGGAGGGGGAAAAAAAAACCCACAAGCCATATATATATATATATATATATATATATATATATATATATATATATATATATATATATATATATATATTTATTTCTTAGATGAAAATGTCTGTGACTTTTTTCATAGAATGATCTGAAAGTATGATCAACAAAAGAGATAATCTGGACTTCATCAAAATTAAAAAAATTTGTGTTTCAAAGGCCACTATTTTTTTTTTTAACATTTTTTAAATTTATTTGTGTGTGTGTGTGTGTGTGTGTGTGGCCAGCTCAGCCCACCAGGGGGCGGAGCTGGCTGGCATGTGGTGCTGCAGGATTGAACCGTGGTCCTTTTGCTTTGCTAAGCTTGTCTAAGTAGGTGCTTTAGACCACTGAGTCATTTCACCAGCCCTCAAAGGCCACTATTAAAGAGTGAAAAGTCAGTCAAACTCTTACAACTCAACTGTGAAACAAATAACCTAACTTAAAACTTGGTCAAAAGGAAACTTGCAAAGCTCAATAACAGAGCACATGCTTTGCATGCATGAGGCCCTGGGCTCAACCCCTTATACCACCAACAAAACACACATATAAGTAAAAATTAGCATCTGGGCTGAGGATTATATATATATTTATATATTATATAAAATTCAAAATTTTAAGATAGGTCTTGGTAAATTGCCCAGGCTGGTTTTGAACCTGTGATCCTCTTGGTTTTAGCTCCCCAGAGCACTGGAATTAAAAGCATGTGTCACCTAGCCTAGCTACAGTATGTGATAAAAGTTCTTATTTAGCACATGTCAGGCCCTGGGTTGATCTATACAGCTAGCATAACAACAACAACCAACAAAAACAAAAAGGCGAAAGACTTGAGTATTTCTTTAAAGAATACACAAATGGTCAATAATACACAAAAAGATGCTCAATATCATTAGTGATCAGGGAAATGTAAATCAAAACTACAATGAGCTTGCCTAGGATGTGTGAGGCCCTGGATTTGATCCCCAAGCACTACAAAACATGCAAACAAAACCCATCGATTTGATACCACTGCACAGAAAGAAAGAGGAAGGAAGGGAAAGAAGGAAGGCAATAAAAGAAGGGAGGAAGGTTATGATAGAGTTGCTGAGGATATGGAGAAATTTAAATTCTTGTATATTGCTGATAGAAACATAAAATGGTACAGCTGTTGTGGAAAACCAGTTGGCAATCCCTCAAAAAGCTAAACATAGAATTACCATATGACTCAGCAGTTCCACATCTAGGTACATAAGCCAAAGAAATGAAAACAGGTGCCTAGCAAAGACTGTGCCGCCTAGCTCTTTTTAGTAGCACCATCTACACAATGGCAAAATGTTCATCAACAGAGGAATGGATAAACAAAATGTATCCATACAACTGAGTTATCATCCAGCTATAAAAAGGAATAAAATACTGACACATGCTTAAACCTTGAAAATAGGCTAAGAAGCTGCACATTAAAGGCCACATGTTTTATGATCTACCTATACGAAATATCCAGAATAGATGAATGCACGGAGATAAAAAGCAGATTAGCTGTTGCCAGGATAGCAGTGATGATGACTGCATGACACTGTAAACACATTAAATGCTACTGAAATTACATTTTGGTAAATCTTACTGTGAAAACAGAAAATTATTTTTAATTAATAAAAATCCTTCAGCTGCATATGGGGACGCACACCTGTAATCCAAGCGCTATGGAGGCTGAAGGAGGATTGCTGTGAGTTGGAGGTCAGCCTGCGCTACAAAGTGAAAGAAAGCCAGCCTGAACTGCATAGCAAGACCGTGTCTCAAAAAGACAAAAGTCAGGAAAGGCAGAAGTATAAAACTTAGAAAAGTGATTTATAAAAAGTTAGTATCTGAATTAGTTACAAGATTCAATGCAAATATATAGAATAAATCTACAAAGTTCTTGGTCTAAGTGATCAAAACTAATATATTGATTATATACAAGAAAGTAACTATAATAAAATTTCTCACATAAAAAACAGGCAAAAAACAAACAAACAAACAAACAAAAAAAAACCAAAAAAACCCAACAACCCCAAAACAAAACAAAAACAAAAAACACAGGCTAGCTAGGCACAGTAGTCTGCAAGCCCATAGTCCCAGTTAGGAGAAGGCCAAGTCAGGAGGATCATCTGGGCCCTGCAGTTTGAGGCCAGCTTGGGCAACACAGCAAGACCCTATCTCAAAAAACCTAAAACAAACAAGCAACCATCCCACAAAACAAACAGAAATAAAAAAGAGAAAATAAAAAGTGAAGACTGGCTACCAGAAAGTAAATGCTTACAAAAATATCCTTAAGGCCGGGGATTTAGTTCAGTGCTGCAGTACTGCCTGGCAAGCATGAGGTTCTGAGTTCGATTCTCTGTACCAAACAAACAAAACCCCACTAAAACATCTTTAAGTAAGCATTCTATTCCAAATACTTTAATAAAAATCAACGTGGCCATGTCAGAGAAAAATAGATAAACTTAAGTATCTACAATGATATTATAAGACTGTTTTAAAGAATATTCTATAAGACAGGAAGAAGCCATGAAAAGGAATGAAAGACACAGTTGAAGGGAGTTGTCTTAAGGGGCACTCTGCTGTTTAAAATTCTCTCTTCTACCAGAATATCTTCTTATCCTTCTTAAAAACCCATGGACTAGACAGCTATGCAGATTAGCAGGGATTATTCATTACAAAATCAATACTTCTGAAATAATTCAGTATAATACTTTATTATACATTACTATGAATTTATTCAATTTGTTCACTTCTCTACTTAAATGAGCCAGCTTCAAGTCGAAGGAAGTAGTACTAAGCCGCTCACTACTGCAGTTCCCGGCAGAATGCTCCATTTTTCCAAACTTTTTAGTCAAAGTTCCCATCTATTAGCCTAAAAAAAGTACATCTTTTCTCAAAAAATTAAATAAGATATAATAGCATCTTAAAAATATCAACTCACCTGAAATTTATTATTTAACACTGGCAAACAGTATTCTTTAAAACAACCTATTTAAAACCTGAATTTTAACATCACACTTTCTTTATAGAAATTTCACTATTCTTCCTTACAGAGTTTAACAATGAAGACCTTAATTTGCGCTTGTAAACGAATATTATATTTAAAGAATTTTTTTAGCATAATATTCATAAATTGCCTTACTTTGCTTCAGTTTGTGGAAATCACCAACTCTCTCCTTGGTGGCTTGCTTTAGTATATCTGCTTGAATTCTGGGTTCATTCTCCAAGTTTGAGCCAGGATTTAAATGCTGAGGAGGATTGGGAGGGTTCTGTTTTGAAGTACCTGGATTACCATTGTGGTTTACATGTGAATCTACGGCATAAAAACATCAAATTAAAGTAACTTTTTTTTTTTTTTTTTTGCAGTATTAGCGATTGAACCTAGGGCTTTCAAACTAAGCTATATCCCGTTGTTTTTTTGAATTTATAAATTTTGTGACAGTGTTTCAGTAAGTAATTGAGTTGCCTTGGCTGGGCTTGAACTTTTCATCTTTTGGCCATCACCTTTCTTAGTGCTGCATAACAATGCACCACCATGCCTGGCAGAATGTATCTCTTTTTACAGAAGAATTATAGAAGAGTTGTTTTAGAAATACTAAAAAATACAACTGTCTGAAATGTGAATTTTTTTTGAGATAGGTCTTATTGTGTAGTTGAGACTGGCCTTGAACTCACTTTGTAACCCTGGCGAGTCGAACTCCCAGCAACACTGCCTCAGCCTCCGTGAGTGCTGGGATTACCAGCATGCACACCACACCTGACTAGCCAGTCTTGAACTCAGTGATCCTCCTATCTCGTCCAAGTGCTGGGCATCACCATACTCAGCATCACTACTATTTTTAAACCTATTTACCAGGTACCCTAGAACTCAAAGATGAGTATAGCAATGACATACAATGGCATATGCCTGTAATTTCAGCTACTCAGAAGGTTGGGGCAAGAAGACTACAAATTTAAGGCCAGCCTGGGAAACAGCAAGACCCCTGTCTTTAAAAAAAAAAAGTAAATGCTGGGAACTGCTAACGCTGGTAACTTCATACGTGGGAGGGCAGGATGAGGCCTCATTGACTAACGCAGTCAAGCTACCTCTGTCTTGAGAAAAACGTCCTGCCTCCACATTGTGGGCCATTAGCTGCTAGCCAACCTTGTGTCTTATAACTTTGCAAAGGTATAAATAAACCCTCCTACTGTTGCTTGGGAGTCCTTTGTCATCGGGCATGGTCCACCACCTGACCTCGGCAATTATCTCCTGTCTTTTATTTTCTAACTCCTCTTAATGTTTTCTCCTGGGGACCACCAAGAGACCAATGGATCCCTACAAATAAACAGCAATTAAGCCCATGTTTTTGCCTCCTTCCAAAGTCTATATTGCTCTTAGATACCTCTAAAATGTATGATATTTAAGGCATCTTCATCTAATAAAGACTAAGAATTCTGGATTCTTTCATATTACCAACTCCTTAAGGTAACCTCTTTTTCTCTCACCACTTTTATTCCTTTCTCCACATCTTGATTTAGATTCTTAATTTTGGAATCAGAAACATCTGTGCCACAGATTTTTATATTTTTTCTTTTCATCATTTCCCCAAGAGGCTCCTTTTCAACCCTATCAGTTCTCATTTTAGGACATTTCTAGAAAATCAAATCAGTGTTAGTACTAATCAAATACACTCATAATTATGGGTTTAAGGTAGGTGATTATAGTAGGTATATGTGTGAAACAAATGAACACATTTTAGAGAAAAATCTATATGGTCTTGAAGAGATAAAAGAGAATATAGTTCAATATTTCTTTTAAGAAAAACTACAGTAACACAAAAAACAAAGCATAGTTTTAGATGATTTCTCCTTGAGTTTTGACCAGTCATTTAAAATATATAACATTAAATAATGCTAGCCTGGCATGGTGGCACACTCCTGTAATCCTAACATACAGGAAGTTGAGGCAGGAAGACTGCTGCTGGTTTTAGCTCAAATTAGGCTATACAGTGAGTTCAAGGCCAACCTAATCTACAAAGCAAGACTATCTCCCACCCCTGGAAAAACAAAAACAACAAAAAAAACAAGCCAAACAAACAAAAAACCCAAACACACAAAAACCTACTTTACTATGTAGCTAAATGACATTTTAGCTACTAGGTAACAATATATAACCTAAGCCAGGAATAGTGGCTCAACCTCATAATCTCAGCACTTGGTAAGGCTGAGGAGTACAAATTCAGGACCGTCCTGGGCAACTTAGTGAGTCACTATCTGAAAAAAAAAAAACCTGTAATGTAGCTCAGTATCAAGGTCCCAGGTTCAATATCCGGCAAAACAAACAAACAAATGGAACAGTAAATTAGTTTTCAAGCACAATGCTATGAATATGACTTCATACCTGGAGCAATATTTGGGGACAGAGGTTGTCCAGTTGGAAGATGGGAGATTGTCTGATGATTTTCACGTTGTGAAACTAAAACAGGGGGCTTCCTTAAAGCTATAAGAAAAAATATATCCACATTATTCCCATTGATATGACTGTACAAACCAGTATAATGGATCTATTTACATTGTACTAATCCTCTGATGCCCATTCTAATTTTATAAATGTTAAGAGTTGATTAACTTTTTATGGTTATTAACTGATATAGTATACCATCCAACAAAGATTTTGGTGATCAATAAATCTGACCAGAATACAGCAAGTTTCATGACAAGACAAACTGTCTTTTTAACTGCTGCATCCTTAAAACCTAGAATCGTGTCTGACACATAATAGAAACTCAACAGTGATTTGACAAATACATAAGTTAATCTTTTCAGATCCAGTGATTTCCAATAGTGAGGTCTCTTCACAGGTAGTACAAATAAAAACTGACATTTATAGAAAACAGCAGGATTATGTAATTCTTAGTTCTTCAGTTATAAGGTAAAGCTTCAAGATGACTATTCCAGAAATTTGAGATTTTGTGAAGATGCACATTTTATTTGTGCAAAGGGCTTTACTAACAAAGAGACACATGCCTTAGAGTGGAGGCATTGTTTTCTCTTAAGAATTGAAGACAACAGGGAAAATGATGAGTCTTTTACTCATTACCACTGCTCTATGTATCTTGAGGGGGTGAACATGATCAAAAGGCAGATAGCAAACAAGAAAACTACAGACAAAGGAAAGAAACATCACCTCTCTTCCCTCTCTTCCCTTCTGCCACATCTTAGGATGCAACATGTGGTGATGGTGGCATCACAAAATGGAAGGGGTCACTGTTCAGGGGAGCACAAAGAGAACCACTCAACCTTTCTGTATCAGAATGTCAAGTGAGCAGTGAGAGCTGGTGACTATCTGAGAAAACACTATGGTTTAGTTATGTAAAACAAAGATGTTTTTTTATAAAAAACATCAAGATGGGTTTAGAAATGATACAGCAGTGACAGAGTAGTACTATATAGCCCTTATAAACTTAATAGGGTAGTTTTTCTCTTAATGACTCATTGATTTGAGAGCAAGTCTTGCTAAGCAGTCCAGGCTGCCCTTCAACTTGTATAGCTAAGGTGGCCTGAAACTGATGCTCTTCCTTCCTTAGTCTCCAGAGTAGTTGTGATTACTGGCACGTGCTGCCACACCTGACTTGACTTTCTTTTTTTTTTTTACACTGGATTAAGGACAAGTTATTGTTTTTATGTACAGAAAACTCAAGAGTACGCTTAGCCCAGTTTAGTGGCAAGCTCTTTAGCCTCTGCTTTCTCCAGCTTGGCAATACGAGCCACAGATTTTGGACCCAGAACATTGCCTCCCCAGTGACTGTGGATCTCATCGTATCTGTCATTGTAGTTGGTCCTGATGGCCTCCACCAGCTTAGCCAGAGTGCCTTTGTCTTCCGAGTTGACTTGCGTGAAGGCGACAGTAGTACAGGTCTTACTGTGGACCAGATGCCCCAGCCTGGCCTTCCCCTTGATGATGCAGTAAGGGACCCCCATCGTGCGACACAGGGCAGGCAGGAACACGACCAGCTCGATGGGGTCCATGTCATGTGCAATCACCATAAACTGAGGCTTCTTGTTCTCTATCAGAGTGGTGACAGTGTCGACACCTGCTCTGAGGACCGGTGGCCTCTTAGTGGGGACATCCCCTTTGCCAGCAGCTTTCTTCTCTGCCTGGGCCAACAACCTCTGCTTCTTTTCTTGCTTGGTCTCTGGTCTGTACTTGTGGGCAAGCTTAAGCAGCTGGGTAGCTGTTTGGCGGTCTAAGGCCTGGGTGAACTGGTTAATCACATGGGGCACCTTCAGCCGTTTGTACAGGATGGCCCTCTGTCATTGCAGCTGGATGTAGTGGGGCCATTTGACAAAGCGGGTGAGGTCTCTCTTGGGCTGGATGTCCTGTCCAATGCCAAAATTCTTTGGCCTCTTCTCAAATGGGATTTACCACCTTCTTGGCCTCCTGCTTCTTCATGACAGCAGGGGCCGGGGCCACCTTCTTGCCCTTGGCCTTCTTCCCTTTCAGCATCTCGGCCGGCTGACAGAAAGAGCAACTTTTTTTCTATAAACATCCAAGTATCTAATTTTCTTTCTATAATAATAATATATTATACCTGGATTCCTGTAACCTGTTTTTTGTTTTTTTTTTTAATCTTAAAAAAGTCAGCTATCTTCAAATGCCAGTATAGCTTGGCATCACCATTTTAATGCACCTACATCACATGTTATGGATGCAACAGATTTAATGAACACCTTATATGGTTTTCAACTTGTCATTATGAACAATTTTATGATGTTCATTCTTAGAATTACATGACAGTAAATTCTCAAATTTAGAAAGCTAGTAGCTATGCATACTTTTCAAATAAAAGAAACTGAGTAATAAATATAAATTCAGAGACAATAATGAAAGTGTGCGGAAAAATTAGATGAGGAAAAGACTACAAAAATCATAACAGTGATTTATGACTTTTTTTTTTTTTTGGACCAGGGACCAAAACCCAGAGCTTCTAGCTTGCTAGGCTAGTTTTCAACCACTGAGCCAAATCCCCAGCCCCATGATTTATGGTATTAAAGCACTTTTAACTCTGTATTTTACCTTAGTCCTCTTTGTTGAGAACGAGAGAACAACAACAAATTTACACACAAGGACACACACACACACACACACACATGCACACACATACACACACGCATGCATGCACGCTCATACAAATCAACAGAGAATAACATGGTGCTGTTAGAAAGTATGATCAATACCTGTTATGGCCTGGAGATGCAGCTCAGTGATAATTCAGTGCTTGCCTCACTTATATAACCCTCTGGGCTTAATCCTTAGCACTGTAACACTACCACCACCAGGAACAACAACAAGAAAAACTATGCTGATAAACTAAAATGTACATTATTGATTAAATCATCATTAAGGAAAACTACCAAAGATAAAATATAAAACCTGTTATCACAAAGGTAAAATGCATTAGTCAGGATTTTAGTCACTGAAGTATAGTATACGGAGTTCTTTTCTTTGTAGTGTTGGGGCTCAAAGCCAGAACTTCCTGATGCTGGACAAGTGCTCTACTAACTAAGCTAAATTCCCAGCCCAAACACAGTTTTATCAAAACACTGTTTTTGCATTCCTTATAAAAAAGACCTATCATGTAGTAATTAGACCATTCTTTAGTACACAGGCCTAAAAAGCTGAGACTCAGTAGTGAATAGAAGAAATGTTGTAACATTATAAAGCTGATACTTTTCTTAAAAAACTACATTAAGCTGAACTAAAAGATACAACATATATGACTCTGAGTTAGCCCCTAATTTTTCCTCAATGCTCACCTGAAAAATACAGATAATGCCATTTACCCTGCACAAGCAATGTGGGGATTAAGAATACTTGCCTATGAAGCAGGATTCAGACTACAACATGGCTGTTAAGTGTTGTGCTATCATCATTCTCCCTGCTCAAAATAATCTCTCTCTCTCTCTGGTACAGGGTCTCACTACCTCACTACACAGCTTGCATTCCTAGTGATCCTCCTGTTTTCAGCCTCGCCAGTGCTGGGATTACAGGCATGCACCACCACACCTGGTCTCAGTGGCTGGTTCAGCATGCCCGAGGGTGGGGCTGGTGTGGCATGTGGTGCCAGGGATCAAATCCTGATCCCTGCACTTGCCTAAACAGGCACTTAGTCTGCAGAGCTATCTAACCAGCCCATAAAGTTGTTTCTTAATTATACCTGTCTGCTATGCCTGTGTAGCAGCCAGGGATGCTTGGTCTCATACATGTTGAGAAAAAAAAAAAGAGATTATTTGCCTCTAAATGATACAGTCCTAGCACACAGAAAATGCTCAATACATACTGCAGTGTTTAGAGTTGACAAAGTTGAGTGTTTACCCTCAGAATAAGTGATCCTCAATTCAGTTTAAGGGGGAAAAAAACAGACAAGCTAACTGGCCCTAATCAATTTATTGAGTCTCCTGATTAGTTAATTTATCCTAAGAGCTTTAAAAAAGAATATTTACATAGATTTTTGAAGACTCATAAATATTTGATCAGCAAATGACGTTAATAAAGAAATCCCAGAAAGTGAAGACAAGAGATGTATGGGCCTATAAGTCTAGCTACTTGGGAGACTGAGAAATTAGTCTGGACAACAGAAACATCTTAGTGAGATACTATCTCATACACAACGAAACACAACACAACACAGAACACCCCCTCACCCAACCCCCTCCCTCAAAATAGAGACGAAATATTATTTTGAAGCCTGAATGGTCCATTTACACTTCCAAAAAATACATGTCTATAGACATTTTTGGGGATATTGAACCCAGGGACATTCTACCACTGAGCTATATCCCAAACTCTGCCTCTCAAATTTTGAGATAGGGTCTCACTAAACTGCCCAGGCTGGCCCTGCACTTAGGATTTTCCTGCCCAAGTCTTTAGAGTAGATGGGATTTCAGGCATGTACCACCATGTCTCACTATAGAGATTATTAAAACAATGTTCTCATATGACCCTGAGGACCTGGTCAATGGACTGAGGTGCCTTTAAACTCAGGCACTTATTGGCAAATAAATACCCGAAAGAATGTTCCACAGTACTGGTCATTCGAGAAATGCAAATTAAAACAACACTGGTGGTGCCAGGGAGATAGCTTGCTGGTCTAAGAGCCTGCCTGGCAAGTGCAAAGACCTTGGATCGATCCCCTGTACCACCAGCCACCAGAACGGGTGTGGTGGTGCAAGCCTGTAATCCCAGCACTAGAGAGGCCGAGACAGGGGGATCACTATGAGTCTGAGCTGTATAGCGAGACCCTGCACCAAATAAATAAATAAGATTAAAAACATCACCATCACCAAGATACCATCTCATTCCAGAAAGAATGGTAACTATAAAGAAATCAACTAATAACAAATCCTGGAGAGGCTTGGGAAAAAGAAATAATGCTCCACTACTGGTGGGAGTGTAGACTGATACAACCACTATGGAAATCATTGTAGAGACTCCTCAAA